TTTCATCCACTGGTTCACACCCCAAATGACTGCAATGGCTACAGCCAGGAGCTTCTTTTGGGTCTCCCATGTGTGCGCCCTAGGACTTGGGCCATCTTCCACTGCTTTCCCAGGCCATAGCAGAGAGCTGGATCAGAAGTAGAGCAGCCAGGACACGAGCCAGCACCCATATGGGATGCCGGCACTGCAAGTGGAAGCTTAGCCTATTACACACTAGTGTCTGTCTGTCTCATTCTCTCTCTCTTTTTTTTTTTTTTTTTTTTTTTGTTCACTGATATTCCCATAGAAAACTATTTATTTCAACTAGCTTTTCTAAGTTTTTAGCACAGACTAATTCAAAAACGTCTCATAATTTTTGGTTCCACTTATATCTATGATTATGTTTCCTTTCTATTCTGAATTTTCACTTTCCTTCTTCATCCCTGGATTCAACTAGCTCTTTGATTTCATTGTGGTTTTGCCCCCTAATAGGACAGAGAGCTGAAATTTAAGGGATGACAGAGTTTATCTGGGCAAAAGGAATGCAGACATCCCCGAGTCAGTGATGCGGGCGGCAACCTGCAGCCATAAAACAGCTGCGGTCTTGGGTGAACGGTACCTTGGTTTGGCCACAGCATAGTGAAGAGGCCGGGGCAGCGAGCAGACACTGGAGTATGAAGGAATCCCACAGCGGGATTGTCCCTGTCACCTCATGTTTCAGCATGCCCTCAGGACCAAAGCACCCCAGGGACACCTAACTAGCCCAAGCCCAACTTCCAGAGTGTGGAGAGAAGATGGCCCCTCGGGTTCCCACACAAAAATCAGGGCTCTGCCTTCTCTTAGCGCATAAGGAGAGAGGTGGGACTGCTTCCACTGGGTAGCCCGGAAGGCTATACACTGCAGCACAGTATGCAGTAAGCATATAATACACAGAAGTAGACACTGTATACCCTTACTCCTCTCCTTCCCTAAAGTGACCGCCCTACAGCTCAGCACTTTTAATGCTTTCCATGTAATCCCTCTACTGATTAAGGTTATAATTGTTAATCACATTTTTTTTTCTCTCTTTTTTTGAATGGTTATGCAATTTTCTTTCTTTTAAGATTTTATTTATTTATTTGACAGGTAGAGTTACAGACAGTGAGAGGGAGAGACAAAGGTCTTCCTTCCGTTGGTTCACTCCCCAAATGGCCACAACCTCCAGAGCTGTGCGGAGCTGCACCAATCTGAAGCCAGGAGCTAAGGGCCTGTGCTTCTTCCTGGTTTCCCACGTGGGTGCAGGGGCCCAAGGACTTGGGCCATCCTCCACTGCTTTCCCAGGCCACAGCAGAGAGCTGGACTGGAGGAGGGGCAACCGGGTCTAGAACCAATGCCCATATGGGATGCCGGCGCTGCAGGCGGAGGATTAACCAAGTGAGCCATGGCACCGGCCCCCATCTCTCTCTCTCTCTCTCTCTCTCTCTCTCTCTTTCTTTCTTTCTTTCTTTCTTTCTTTCAAGATTTATTTATTTATTTGAAAGTCAGAGTTACACACAGTGAGGAGAGAGAGAGAGGTCTTCCATCCACTGGTTCACTCCCCAGTTGACCACAACTGGCCGGAGCCACGCCGATCCAAAACCAGGAGCCAGGGGCTTCCTCTGTGTCTTCCCACTCAGGTGCAGGGGCCCAAGGACTCCGGCCATCTTCTACTGCTTTCCCAGGCCATAGCAGAGAGCTGGATTGGAAGTGGAGCAGCTGGGATTTGAACTGGCGCCCTTATGGGATGCAGGCAGTGGCTTTACCTGCTATGCCACAGTGCCGGCCCCTAAAGATTTCTATAATGAGTGCCAGTTCAAGTCCTGGCTGGTCCACTTTCTTTTTAATGTGCTTCTGCCTCTCTGTAACTCTGCCTTTCAAATAAATTAATAAATCTTTAAAAAAAAGTTTATTTAAAAAATATAGTAGCTGATAGTTCATGAAGAATAGTAGCTGTGTCCTTTTATTCTCCTGGGTTTATTTTCCAGACAGTCACTGCCAACTCTTTGAGATGTTTTATTCCTAAAAAATATGCTCAAATTGCCACTTCCTAATAACAGAGTGTAGACATTATCTATTGACTTTCTGTTATAGTAGATGAAGATATGGTTCTACACTTCCACTCACTTTCCTTCTCCGTATCCTTCCAAAAATAATTATGATTTTTTTTTAGGTTTGTATATGATGTGCTCTCGTTTTCTATGGTGTCGTAGTGCACATACGGGCACCGAAGAAGCGGAACATAACCCAGAGCACCCTCCACCCATGGACCCCTCTCCCACACCAGCCTACTGACAAAGCGTGACAGGCAGAGAAGACGAGCTTACGGAAACTAGGATTCTCAAAAATGTATCCTTTTTGTTTTTGACATCTAAGCTTATTGCATTATGACAGGGAACATGGTATTTATCATACTGATTCTTTGAGACTTGCTTTATTGGCTAGTACTGATCTATTTCATAATGTTTCCACATTTATTTGAAAAGAATGTATATATATATATATTTTTTAAGATTCATTGTATTTATTGAAAGACAGAGTTACAGAGAGAGCTAGAGACAGAGAGAGAGGCCTTCCATCTGCTGGTTCACTCCCCAGATGGCCGCAACGGCTGGAGCTGGGCCGAGCCAAAGCCAGGAGCCAGGAGCTTCTTCCAGGTTTCCCACATGGGTGCAGGGGCCTAAGGACTTGGGCCATCTTCCACTGCTTTCCCAGGCCATAGTGGAGAGCTGGACTGGAAGAGGAGCAGCTGGGACTAGAACCAGTGCCCATATGGGATGCTGGCACTTCAGGCCAGGGCTTTAACCCACCCCACCACAGCGCCGGCCTCAAGAATGTGTATTCTTGGATGGCTCGCTGGAGAGACTTCCATATATTTGTTAGATGAACTTGTTTATTGTTACTTAAGCCCTCTCCCTTCTACGTGTGTCTACTTGATTTGTCAGTAAATGAGAAAGACGCTATTATTGTGGACTTTCCTGTGGTTTCCATTCCTTACCATAGTTTTTTCAAATTTTGCTTTACATTGTTTGAGGTTACTTTATATAACATATACAAGATTATGAGTATTATATTTTCTTTGTTAACTAAATCGTCTATCACTTCTTAGTGATCCTTTCTAGTTCTAAAAAGATTTTTTTTTTTAAATTTGACAGGCAGAGTTAGACAGTGAGAGAGACAAAGAGAAAAGAAAGGTCTTCCTTCCATTGGCTCACCCCCCAAATGGCCGCTATAGCTGGCGCACTGCACCAATCTGAAGCCAGGAGCCAGGTGCTTCCTCCTGGTCTCCCATGAGGGTGCAGGGCCCAAGCACCTGGGCCATCCTCCACTGCCTTCACGGGCCACAGCAGAGAGCTGGACTGGAAGAGGAGCAACCAGGACTAGAACCCGGCACTTATATGGGATGCTGGCACCATAGGCGGAGGATTAACCAAGTGAGCCATGGCACCGGCCCCTCTAAAAAGATTTTTTATTTTTTGTCTGATATTAATACAGGTATGCCATTTTTCTTTTTGCTTAATATTTAACTCATCTTTTCCCATTCCTCTATTTTTTAACCTTTCCATGTCCGTACTCTTTTAAGTATCTCAAATATATATGTGTCTGTATGTGTGTGTGTGTGTGTGTGTGTATATATATATATGGATTTCATGAAATTTGTTCTTACAATTGTCTTTTTTTTCTTTTTTTTTTTTTCTTTTTGACAGGCAGAGTGGACAGTGAGAGAGAGAGGGACAGAGAGAAAGGTCTTCCTTTGCCGTTGGTTCACCCTCCAATGGCCGCCACGGTCGGCACGCTACGGCCGGCACACCGCGCTGATCCGATGGCAGGAGCCAGGTACTTCTCCTGGTCTCCCCTGGGGTGCAGGGCCCAAGGACTTGGGCCATCCTCCACTGCACTCCCTGGCCACAGCAGAGAGCTGGCCTGGAAGGGGGCAACCGGGACAGAATCCGGTGCCCCGACCGGGACTAGAACCCGGTGTGCCGGCGCCGCAAGGCAGAGGATTAGCCTAGTGAGCCGCGGCGCCGGCCCTTACAATTGTCTTTTATTTATTTTCCTTTTTATTTGAAAGGCAGAGAGTCCAAGACAGAGAGAAAAATGGAGAGAGATCTTCCATCCACTGGCTCACTCCTCAGATGGCTGGCACGGCTGAGGCTGCTTTAAGCCAAAGCCAAGAGCCTGGAACTCATTCCTGGTCTCTTCCAAGTACTGGAGCCGTCACCTGCCAGCCCCCAGGTTGTGCATCAGCAGGAAGCTGGGCTGGAAGTGGAGGAGCCAGGACTTGAACCAAGCACTCTACTGTGAGCTGCAGGCATCCCAAGCAGAAATTCAACCTTAGCACCAAATCCCACTCTGCAGTCTGTCTTTCCATTGGCAAGTTTAGCCTGTTTAGATTTATATATTTGGTGAATATATTTGAATTTGAATTCTTTTTTCTTATCTTTTTGAATTTTACCTCTCATACAAATAGGTGTATTATGATATGGAGTATTTCTAAAATACCCCAACATACATTTGTTCAATAAAAACAGTAAACTGAAATTAGAGATTTTTAAACTTCCTAGAACCACAAAGTACAAGGCTATAAATATTTTTAAAATGTCCTCTTTTTAATACATGGTTGTCCAACAGCCTATTTTGGTAAACAATTATTGAGCATAATATTTCAACCTGGTATGCACTCTTAAGGTGACAGACTGGCTTTTTAAAAATTTAGTTCCATATGTGGATGAATATTACTTTCGCTGAAAAGGTTTCAGCATCCATTATATTTACATGTAAATTTATATTTACATGTTTGTGTTGATAATGGTCAAGTGGATGAGAATGAGAGAAAACTGAACATTTTCAGTAGCACTATCATTCTTCGAACTGTGTCACACAGCAGAAATCACATGGTGACCTATCATAAAAATATATTTAATGATCAGTTTGGTTATTTTTAGCTGACCTATTTGTTAGGTACAGGCAAAGCTCCCATAACAAAGAGGCGAGGGGAAAGAGAACTTAGTTTCTCTCTCAGGGAATAGCCCTGGGCTGTCTGGGACTCGTAGGATATTTTGCTTCTTGAGGTTTCCCAGGAGTGAGGTTCCTCCTAATGGTGTTGCCTTCCCATTTCTTACAGTATCTCCCTCAGCTGAATGGCTGAAGCCAGTTTCCTAGCACCTTAACTAAACTCCAGACTGCAGGAAATGGAAAGGAGAAAAGGGACGAGTACCCAATCATTTTGCTGCACAACATCCACCCAGACCTTGTTGTTTTAAATAAGTCATGTGCTAGTTCAGAATTCTGTGTTGGGCAATCTGGGCAGGGTCAACGGGTCCTTCCACCGACCTGCCCTGGTCTCGATCATTTACCTGTAGTCAGTTGCAGGTGGGCTGGGTGCCCGATTGGTTGCAGATGGACTCTCTCAATGTCTGGTGCTTGAATGAGCGGTAGGGGAAGCTGTGTCACTGTCTCTGGGATCCAGCACGCCAGCCCGAAGTTCCCAAAGCAGTACCACAGTAGCTAATATCCCATGAGCTAAACCAAGTTATGTAGCTAAGCCTAGACTCAATAGACTGACCTGAGTGGCAAAGCCACATTGCAAAGGGGCATGTATTCAGAGAGAGAAGGAATTCATGGCAGATTTTTGTTGTTCTTGGGGGACTTGGGGTTGTTTGCTTTCTGTTTTGCAATCTATAACCAACAAGATGGATGACAGGCACATATCACTTTCCTTTACTGGCATGGAGAAAAGCTTAGCCATACAGGTACACCCCATCCCAATCAGAGGTTAGGCAGACCTGTTGTCTGCTGAAACTCAGTAGAGGGGGGCAGGAGGGCGCAGTACAAAGGGAAACACAGTACAAGTGGATGCTGAGGGATACAGCAGTGGATCTGGTAACTAACACTTCCATTCGTGGTTTCTTGCATCTGTTAGACACAAAGAATAAGAAGGCACTTGGTTTATGAAAGGATTTTTCCCCCCTCAAGTAAGCCTCATATTTCAAATTGTTCTGCTGGTTACCTGCAGGTTTTACACCTTAAGATAAGCTCCACGGTGAGTCAGGATGCGTGAGAGGTCCGCTCCTCTCTGTTACACGCAGGACAGGTTGGCTGGGGGAGGTGGGGAGCAGACTTAGTCAGGGGCTCCCGCACAAGCTCCATCTCATGCAAATCACTTTCAGGAGGGGATCCAAATTGAAGTTATGGATCTAGAAATTAATTCATTTAATCATGCCCACATAGACCTCTTAGGAACTTTTCATGCCTCCTCAGTTTTAAGGCAACTATATTAGAATGTTTTAATTCTGGGGCTGACGCTCTGGCATAGTGGGTAAAAGCCCCCACCTGCAGTGCTGGCATCCCATATGGGCACCAGTTGCAGTCCCGGCTGTTCCACTTCCAATCCAGCTCTCTGCTATGGCCTGGGAAAGCAGTAGAGGATGGCCCAAGTACTTGAGCCCCTGCACCGGCGTGGGAGACCTGGAAGAAGCTCCTGGCTTCGAATCGGCTCAGTTCCAGCTGTTGTGGTCATTTGGGTAGTGAACCAGCAGATGGAAGACCTCTCTCTTTCTGCCTCTGCCTCTCTGTAACTCTGCCTTTCAAATAAATAAATAAAATATTTTAAAAAAAGAGAATGCTTTAATTCTGATTGCCTTCTCATTTCTTCTCCTATGCTAATTGTCCTGCATTTTTGTTCTGCTTTTTAGTAATCTCACAGATACATTTTTTATTTTGGCCTCACATTATAATTTGTTTTTCCTTTTAGTATTTATTTTATTTATTTGAAAGGCAGAGTTACAGGGAGGGAGAGAGATCTTTCATCCATTGGTTCACTCTCCAAATGGCTGCAACAGCCAAGGCTGGACCAAGCCACAGCCAAAGCCAGGAGCCAGAAGCCTCATCCTGGTCTTGCACATGCGTGCAAGGGGCCCAAGCACTTGGGCCATCCTCTGCTGTTTTCCTAAGCACATTAGCAGGGTGCTGGATCAGAAGTGGAGCAGCAGGGACTCGAACTGGTGGCCATATGGGATGCTGGCATTGTAGGCAGCAGCTTATGCCACAATGCCAGCCCCACATTAGAGTTTGACCAGGTGTTTTCTTAAAGTTGCTATTATAAAAACACACATGTATGAATATAGTATACAAAACATGTAATGGAATTCCCTTTCCCATTCCCGAGGTAAACACTACAATTTGTCTTATTTCCTTCCAGATGTGCTTGTGGGCACACATACATGTGGGTGCACGCGGATGTGTACACAGACATAAATGCAGACACAGGTACACACACAGACACCATATATTCTGTGATCAATTTTTAAATTGTAAAAGTATTATAGCTTCATTGTTGCAAGTCAAACAATTTAAAATGGTAAAAAATTTAATAAATAAACCTACTCCCATCACAGTACACCCCTCCGAGGTGAACAGCATCGAGCAGTCCCCCATCCCTTGTATGTTCCCGAACTCCCAGCGGGTGCCTGTAACTGGATACTCTATTGAGTATGTTGTTTCCTATACAAACACAACTACGGTCAAGTTTAATTTATGAATTAATCACAGAGATTAACAACAAAACTTACTGGAAGTCTAAGCAACCTGAGCATATATTTTCTTCCTTTTTCACATCAAGAACTTTGACCTTTTCCCTTAGAGGGCGCACTTCATGGCTTCTCTGTGGTGTATCTGAAAGCCAGCATCTACTCTTGTACTTTTGGGCCACTGTCAGTAAGATAAGGGTTACCTGAGCATAAAGAATACTGCAAAAGTCACTCTGATAACCAATAAGACTACTAAGTGACTAATGGGCAGGTAACCCATACTGTGTATCTGCCCTGGACAAAGGGGTGATTCATGATGTGGCTGGGGACAGAGCAGGAAGTCACAAAGGTTTATCACACTCGTCAGAATGGTGCGCAATGTAAGACTCTAGAATTGTTTATTTCTGGAATTCTTCCTTTAGTATTTCTGGTCCATGGCTGAGAAAGTGGAATGTAAATTGGGTGGGAGGGAGGCTACTATAAAGCAATTTGCTCTGCTTCTGCTCCTTTCCCCCAATCTATAAATAGATACAGTAGAATTCTTTAACTGCGGTGCAATGAAACCAGAGAAGAGACTCCACCACCCAAAAACTGCAAAACACTGTCTTGGTTGAAGGAGGAAATAAAAGATAAATTGTGAATGTCTAGGAAGTAATGCTAAATGAAAAGCCATATTTGTCATAAACTATGGGAATCAGTTACAGCAATGCAAAGATGAAAATTCAGTGCTTTTTAGATTAACTAATAAAAAAAGAAAGTATCTCACTCAGGAAGTTAGAAAATGAAAAACTAAGAAAGTAACAGGAAGAAATTAGTAAAATAACATTTGGAAATCAGCAAGTAAGAAAACAGAAAATGGTAGAACCTTTAGTGAGAGAACCAAGAACTGTTTATTCAGGAAAAGCAAGCAAAAAAAAAAAATAGATAATTAACTAGTGTGATGGAGAAAAAAGGAAAGAAAAATACATGAGAAATAAAGAGAGAAACAGCTACAGATGCAGAGGAAAGTTACAGAGCCTACAGAGATTTCTCAATTCTATGAATAGAAATTTGGATAAAATAGATGGTTTTCTTTTCAAAACTACAATGAGCTAAAACTGGTTCCAGTAAAAAAAAAAAAGGCTTAGTAAACTAATATCAACTAGGAAATAGAGAAAAATTATCAAAGTGTAACTTCCCCACAAAAGCTTAGGCCTAGATAGTATCACTAGAGCATTCTACTAAACCTAGAAAGAGCAGATTATTCTGATGCTACTGAAATTGTTCCTGAGCTTAAAAAAGAAGCCACTTCCAAATTGTTTTCATAAAGTACACATAAAATTCTTTCCAAAGCCCAACAAGAGTAGAAAAGAAGTCAATCTTGTTTGAGAATATTGAAGCAAAAGTTTAAGTAAAATACTATGGAGCAGGGGCACCGGATTCTGTCCCGGTTGCCCCCTTCCAGGCCAGCTCTCTGCTGTGGCCCGGGAGTGCAGCGGAGGATGGCCCCAGTGCTTGGGCCCTGCACCCCATGGGAGACCAGGAGAAGCACCTGGCTCCTGCCATCGGATCAGCGCGGTGCGCCGGCCGCAGCGCGCCAGCCGTGGCGGCCATTGGAGGGTGAACCAACGGCAAAGGAAGACCTTTCTCTCTCTCTCTCTCTCTCTCTCTCTCTCTCTCACTGTCCACTCTGCCTGTCAAAATAAATAAATAAATACTATGGAGCAGAATCTAGCAGCACACTAAAAGACTAATAAACTATGACCAAATGGTTATGGTTTTTTGTTTGTTTGTTTTGGATTGTAAGGATGCACCAATTTTAGGAAATCTAGTAACATTTATTACCATACTAATATATCTATAAAGAAAATCATATGATCATTTTAGTTGATTAAAAACAATTAACATTCAATATCCACTCTGGATATTTTTAAAACTATTCATAGAAAACTGTATATTCCTCCTTAAGATAATAAAATATATTTCCAAAAATAAAATAAATTTCCTCTGAAAGCTAGCGTAATGCTTAATAAGGAAACAATTGAAACAACTCTCATTAAATTCAGAAAAATGGCAGATTATCACTATTATTATTTAGTATTTTTTGGAGATATTAACCAATGCAATTAGATAGAAGGAAAGAAATGAGATATAAAAAGGAAGTACTTACCATTATTTACAGATAATATGATTGTATGACTGAAAAATCCAAGAGTCAAATGAGAGATTATTATAAAAAAAAGACAGTTTGGGGGCCAGCACTGTGGTGTAGCAGGTAAAGCTGCTGCCTGTAGTGCAAGCATGCCATTTGGGCGCCAGTTCAAGTCCCAGCTGCTCCACTTCCGATCCAGCTCTCTGCTATGGCCTGGGAAAGCAGTAGAAGATAGTCCAAGTCCTTGGGCCCCTGCACCCATGTGGGAGACCCAGAAGAAGCTCCTGGCTCCTGGCTTCGGATTGGCACAGCTCTGGCCGATGGAAGACCTCTCTCTCTGCCTCTCCTTCTCTCTGTGTAACTCTGACTTTCAAATAAATAATTAAATTAAAAAAAAAAAAGAATTGTGTAAGGAAAGGTAGCTGGGTATGAGATTAATACATAAACAACAATAAAATACAACCTACAATGGGTGCTCATAGGCTCCAGCTGCTGGAACCAGAAACCAGAAACCAGAAAGCTGACAAGCCCCCAGACGGTTCCTTTCCCTCTGTGTCTCAGAGGCAAGGCAGCCTTTCATCTCTGCCTAGCTCCCGGATGTTACACATGCTCTCCCCGCTCAGCCTAAATCTCCCTACTCCTGCTCAGCCTTCTAGGACTTTCTCAAGTCATGAGAAGTCCCCGAAGGAGAGTGACTCTGTGTGTTTCTATCTTCACAACAGAGCAAGCCTTGAAAATTCTAAGGTGAAATATAACCGAATCACATGATCATTATGTTTTGTAAAACACTAAATATTACCAAAGCAACACAGAACATAACTTGACTATGCAAAAAATAACATTTACAGAATTTGAATTATGGAAACATTATTAATTTAACTGAAATTCATGATATGGGGCTGGCGTTGTGGTGCAGTGGGTAAAGCTGCCACCTGCAATACCAGCATCCCATATGGGTGGCAGTTCAAGTCCTGGCTGATCCACTTTTAATCCAGCTCCCTACTAATGTGCCTGGGAAAGCAGTAGAGGATGGCCTGAGTGCGTGGGGTCCTGCACCCGTGTGGGAAACCCAGATGAAACTCCTGGCTTCGGCTTGGGCAAGCCCAGGTGGTTGCAGTCACTTGGGGAGTGAATCAGTGGGTGGAAGATCGATTTCTTTTTTGCTGTAAATCTTTCAAATAAATAAAATCTAAAAAAATTCATGATATGATTATTTTGGAAGGATGCGGAGAAGGAAAGTAAGTGGAAGTGTAGAACCATATCTTCATCTACTATAACAGAAAGTCAATAGATAATGTCTACACTCTTATTAGGAAGTGGCAATCTGAACACATTTTTTAGGAATAAAACATCTCAAAGAGTTGGCAGTGACTGTCTGGAAAATAAACCCAGGAGAATAAAAGGACACAGCTACTATTCTTCATGAACTGTCAGCTACTATCTTTATTTTTTAAAAATAAACTTTAAAAAAGATTTATTTATTTACTTGAAATGCAGAGTTACAGAGAGGTAGAGGCAGAGAGGGAAAGAGAGGTCCTCCATCCACTGGTTCACTCTCCAGATAGCCACAACGGCTAGAGCTGCACCGATCCAAAGCCAGGAGCCAGGAGCTTCTTCGGGTCTGCCATGCAGGTGCAGGGGCCCAAGGACTTGGGCCATCTTCTACTGCTTTCCCAGGCCATAGCAGAGAGCTGGATTGGAAGTGGAGCAGCTGGGACTCGAACTGGCACCCATATGGAATGCTGGCACTGCAGGTGGCAGCTTTACCTGCTATGCCAAAGTGCCTGCCCCAGCTACTATCTTTAAACAAAATAAATATATCTCCCCCGATTAAAACCTAGCCCAGAGCCTTTTAAGACATGTTTTGGACATCTCCCATGGTAACAGTTAATCCCAATGTTTTACTTCTTTCCATGCTGATTTATGTTTTCTCTCTTGCTTCCTGGGGTTTTCCTATCCTACCTACCTACAGCACTCAGCACTTCTGGCCACTCTGTGGTCAAACTCTTGTCTCTTTTGGCTTCTGTGACTCTGTACTCCCCCGGTTCTCCTTGGTTCCCCTTTCTCTATTTGTTTCTATTTCCTTCTGCTTCCTATTCCCAACACAAGCGTCCCTGACTCACCCCTCATCCCTTCAACCTCTTCTACCCTCTCCCAAGTTCTCAGCCACCCCCGTGACTTAAAGCTGCACCTCCTTGCAATTGCCCCATCTTAACCTAGCTCTAGCCTAACCTCTTTCCTCAGTTTACACATTTCCACTGACAACTGCACGCCCAGCTCCTAGCTGCTCTTCCATCCTCCACAAACTCAGTCAAACCTGTCCTCCCAAGACCTTACGTCTGCCCCCGTTTCAGTTAGAACCTTGGTTGCTCTTTCTCTTAGCCATCGTGCGGTTGGTTCACTAAGCGCTCTTAGTTCTTTCCCACACTTCCTCCTCTTTCAAAGGTGTCGGCCAGGTCTTCTTCCCAGTGGTCTCCTGAGTCCCTTGAGATCCCCGACTGAGTCTCATCCAATCTGTCTCCTTCACCTTCCACAGGGCCTCGCACTGCAGCAAATAAACTGTCCGCGACTTCAAATACTCTTTCTGCCTCCAATCCATTCTTCCCTGTTTCTAGACTGACCTTTCTAAATGCTAGCCCGCACAAGCCACACCGCCACTCACTGGGCTTACGTGGCCTCTGGCCTCTGTCTTTAGGATCAAGTCCGTGTTACTGTAGCCTGGCACTGGGGACTCTGTGAAATTTTGTTCTATTTATGTGACTCCCCTGCCCCAGAGGAACTTCCTTTTTCATTCACCCACAAAATACTTAGTGTGCACCCCGGGCACAATGCTAAGCCTTGAGGTACAACATAGCCCTTATAATCTGGGATTCACACTGACATGACCAGAATGTTTCTTTAAAAAAAAAAAATAGATTGGGGCTGGCACTGTGGCATAGTGGGTAAAGCCGCTGCCTGCAGTGTCGTCATCCTATATGGGTGCTGGTTTAAGTCTCAGCTGCTCCACTTCCGATCCAGCTCTCTGCTATGGCCTGGGGAAGCAGTAGAAGATGGCCCAAGTCCTTGGGCCCCTGCATCAGCATGGGAGACCCGGAAGAAGCTCCTGGCTCCTGCCTTCAGGTCAGCGCAGCTCTGGCCATTGTGGCCAACTAGGGAGTGAACCAGCAGATGGAAGACCTCTCTCTTTCTCTCTGCCTCTCTTTCTCTATGTGTAAATCTGACTTTCAAATAAATAAATCTTTAAAAAAATTAGAGAGAGAGAGAGAGATCTTCCATCTGCTGGCTCATTCCTCAGATGGCCACCATGGCCAGAGCTGGGCCAGACTGAAGTCAGGAGCCAGGAGCTTCTAGGTCTCCCATGTGGGCGCAGGGGCCCAAGGGCTTGGGCCATCTTCTACTGCTTTCCCAGGCCATAGCAGAGAGCTGGATTAAAGAGGAGCAGCCAGGACTAGCACCTGCATCCATATGGGATGCTGATGCCATAGGCAGAAGCTTAGCCTACTCTGGCACAGTGCCAGCCCCCTGAATGTTTCTACTTGTGATGGTTCTCCCTAAGACAGCCTTTTTAAGCATATTTAAGCACCAGAGTCAGCACATTTAGATGATCCCCAAATGTGGTTATAAGGTTCTTTGTCAGGTGAAACTAGTCATAGACAGGCGACGGGCAATATTAAGAAGCAGTGTCTGGCACTGACTGTTTCCAGTGTGCCGAGCAGTAAGTGCTATTATTTCATTTCATGTCTATGGCCTTCTGAAGTAGG